TTTTTTTTTTTTTTTTCTTATATTACCTTAAGAAAATTACATCCGATAGTTCAACTGAACAACTGAGAAGCCAACACTAGTACACACAATATGAAGGCTACTACCATGAGGGAGCTCACATCACTCCCCCTCCACAGCCAACAAAGCTAAAACAAGAAGAAAACACACTAATACACTAACAAGGCTATAACCCGGAAGCCAACAAGGCTTTCGGTTTATCAGATAACCAAGGATTTGGATATTTTTTCCCCATTCAGAAAAAAAAAAAAAAATGTAGCTTATCAATAATTTACTTTTGTATTTTTCATATTTTGTTTTTAGTTTGATAGTTTTTGGTGAAAGAATTTGATGTCAAGATGTCGTACTTCACGCCACACATCACGTTTCAGTATTAGTGTAGTCTATTTGATGCTGCAACCATAATACTTCTTATAACTTTATAAGCTCATCCCTGAACTTTTCATATTGCAGATTATTGGCGGTGCTGTGCTTCATGATGGGTCGATTGCAGAAATGAAAACTGGAGAAGGGAAAACCTTAGTGTCGACTTTAGCAGCTTATCTCAATGCTCTGACTGGAGAAGGTGTTCATGGTATGTTTGTCATTTATTTGTTCTTAGAGACATACTGATGTTACTAATTAGAGGTTGCTATTGTTGATTCGGGCTACCCTTATGCTGTAGTTAGTTTTATTTTTGATACTCATACAATTCTATCACACGCTTGACTCTGTCAGGGTTACAGCATAATCAATTGTGCATAGCATATATGATATCTTTCCTTTTCTTCCTTTCTTTCTTTTTGGTTTGTGAAGTTTTTTGTTTTTAGGGCGCCAAACTCAAACATATTTTACTTTCTGTGGCAGTTGTTACAGTAAATGATTACCTTGCTCGGCGTGATGCTGAGTGGATGGGTCGTGTGCATCGTTTCCTAGGTCTCTCAGTTGGACTTATCCAAGTAATTCTTTTCTGAAAGCCCTTACTTTAGGTGTGCAATGTTTTTTTATTAAAAGAAGATCATGTAGAAAACTTGCTCCTACAAATTAATTAGTACCTATTTATTTTAAGTTGTTCCAGAATTCACTTTGATTTATGCTAAATTCTAAATTAAAAGTGAGTCGTGAAATAACCAGACATTTAACTGGTCTAACTGCAAAAGGATGACATCAGCGAGTGAATGTTCTTTCTTTTATTCCTTTTTTAATTTTTTTATGGTTTCAGTGGATGTATATGTGTTGTCAAGACATGGCTTATCTCTAATGCGCTTACCTTGATCTGTAAAAGTGTAAATGGACTTTTGAATCTTTAAAATGTCAAACTTCAAGGGACAATAGTGATGCTTGGGCACATGTGACCAGATGGGATGTGAAAACTTGGGAATCTCTATGGTTATCGTATGTCCTAGAGGTTCATTTAAAATAACGTAAAAGAGGGCTTTCAGTTTGTTTAGTGGACATCATATATTTAACACTAAATTATTGCTATCTTGTGTTTTTTCTGAGTGTGCAGGGTGGAATGACACCTGAGAAGCGAAGATTGAACTATGGATGTGACATTACATACACCAATAATTCGGTAAGAATCTCAGCATATGAAATAGGGCAACAAGTTACTAATTTATTTTTTTTATTTTTTTATTTTTTTTCTGAATAAACTTATTGGGTGATTCTGTTTGCTGTCAATTTATAATTCAACTCCTTGCTTTCATAAAATCCTTTTGTTGTTTTTCTTTCTTTATGACCTTAGGAGCTTGGCTTTGATTATTTGCGAGATAACATTTGTGGAAGCAGAGAACAACTTGTGATGAGGTGGTACCTATTAGTTCTTGTAGCTGCCTAGTCGGGTGTAGTCTCATAAATAATAATGACGATTTATTATACTATGAAACAGGTCAAAACCCTTCCATTTTGCGATTGTTGATGAAGTAGATTCAGTCCTCATCGATGAAGGACGAAATCCGTTGTTAATAAGTGATTCGGTAATTTGCATATTTTCGGCAATCTGCTACTAAGATGTTTAAGTGGCATTCTTATTTTCAAGCAATCTGATCTAACATTTTATTGGCAGTTTTTCACTCACTTTTTTGGATGCCTAAATAGTACTGAAAAATCCTATAACCAAAAAGAAACTGGAAAACATGTAGTTTAACATGAACATTTTCTTTAGATCCTAGTAATTGAACTATGGTCATCTAAAAATGATTTCTCCTTCTCCTTCTTTTTCCTACTTATATTTAATTATTCCAGGCAACTAAAGATGCTGCACGCTATCCAGTTGCAGCTAAAGTAGCTGAGTTGCTGATACAAGGGCTTGTGAGTCCACTTTTTGGCTCTTCACAAAAAAAATCAAGGATCATACTTTAGAAATATATAGGATTCTTTTTAACATTTTATATTTTCCTGACAGCATTACACGGTGGAGCTGAAAGATAATTCAGTGGAACTTACGGAGGAAGGTATACTACTGGCTGAGATGGCCTTAGAAACGAATGATTTGTGGGATGAGAATGATCCTTGGGCTAGGTGAACATTGAAGAAATTTATCATTTTTCAGTTTATATTTGCATGATCACTCTTGAGCTAGTTCCTTTTACATATTTATGGACGACGGATATCACCGTCTGATGCTCGACTTTTTTCTACATTTTTTTTTTTTCTGATGTATTAAATATCCAATTATAATGTTTCAGGTTTGTTTTGAATGCAATAAAAGCTAAAGAATTCTACCGTCGGGATGTACAGTACATGATCCGAAATGATAAGGCTCTCATAATCAATGAGGTCAATAAAGCTATAAGTAGATTCCTGAAATTGTCGCTCTGATAACCTATTTAATTTATTTGATGATTATTTATGGCAGTTGACTGGTAGGGTAGAAGAGAAAAGGCGATGGTCTGAGGGAATCCATCAGGCGGTGGAGGCCAAAGAAGGACTGAAAATTCAGGTGTCAGAGCTTCTACATTTTATTTTATTTCATTTTTTGTTAGATTTAAGCGGTAATTTGATTTTACTTTATGCAATTTCGTTTTACTTTCATGCTTTCTGAAATTTGTTAGGCTGATAGTGTTGTGATTGCTCAAATTACCTACCAATCACTGTTCAAACTATATCCAAAGCTTTCAGGGATGACTGGGACTGCAAAGACGGAGGTATTTTGCATTTCCGTGAAGCAAACTGGGTTTTTTCAAATTTCGATGAAGGGTATAAACCTCATATATAAAGATCTTCCTTGTTTGTTACCGTAGGAGAAGGAATTTCTGAAGATGTTTAAGCTGCCAGTTATTGAAGTGCCCACGAATATGCCTAATATTCGTCAAGATTTTCCCTTGCAAGCATTTGCAGTAAGATAGTAAAGTCTATATATATATGTATATGTGTGTGTTTGTGTGTGTGTGTGCGCTATAACTCAACTTTTCCAATGCTAATCTTTTGACTTTTGTTCTGAATGGTGCGGGGTCTCAGACTGCTCGAGGGAAATGGGAATATACTTGTGCAGAAATTCAGTACATGTTCCGCCTAGGCCGGCCTGTACTGGTTGGGACAACTAGGTATCTTCTGTCTATTCTCTTTTAAAATGGTGCACGTTAATGGACAACTCATCCAAAGTATAGCAAGTCAAAAGTGTGAAGTGTAGACCTTAAGATGATGCACACAACATTGATTAACATTATTAAGTTGTTATGGATGAGAACTTTGAGTTACCACATTATTTCTGTTCTAATTCTAAAAGTTCCATATTATATAGGAGGGCATTTGTTAATTAAATATGATAAACTGGGCTTATTCTCTGTAATAGCAGGAAGAGGTATGTGTAGTTTTGGAAGGTGACTGGATTTCTTTATCACTAAGAAGAAAATAATGGTGGGCTATTTGTAACGGTTCTTTCTATTTATGCTATTTGAATTCACCTTTTCTTCCTTAAAAATGGTGGGAGAAAAAGAAAATTGTTCATTGATGCTGTTTGCATTTAAAATTAAACATTGGTGGTTCTCATGATATATTTTGATTGTTGGAGCAGTGTTGAACATTCCGAATACCTGTCTGCTTTACTGAGGGAGAGAAATATACCCCACAATGTCCTTAATGCTCGCCCCAAGGTTTATTGCATGACTAATGATCTTTGGATTCATTTAATTTTTTGTGCTTCTATATTCATTTGGGAAGACTTACAAAATTTTATCTTCTGCAGTATGTGGCCAGAGAAGCCGAGATTGTTGCCCAGGCAGGTCGAAAGTGTGCAATTACTCTATCCACGAATATGGCCGGCAGGGGCACTGATATTATTTTAGGAGGAAATCCAAAGGTTGATGTTAT